TAAATATTGATTGATTGGTTAATTCTTTTGTTATTTGCAAAGCTTGTTCACCACGGTGATTGACCTCTTCTTTGCACAATTCGATCAAAACATCGTAGCGATTTATCAAATAATGCTTCCATAGATGATCGTAGACTCGGTCACACTTCTCAGAGTATTCTGCATCAGCACACTTTTGACAGACAAACATCCTATTCTTTTTTTCGTACATCCGCCCGATGTAGAAATTACCTAAATCTAAAAAAAATCTTGTTTTTGTCTTTTGATCTATCTGATCTATATGAGTCACTTATTTGTACTTTTAAAAACAAAAAAAGCTCTAAAACTACGCTATATAAGTATAAATAATCATAAAACTTATTTCTACCTTTAGCGGTGGTCTGGATAGGGTGTTGGTACTTGAATCTGTGGGTTCCGGGCGTACATTCCTGTCAATTGCATAGCTGGGTAGTCATCTGGAACCAAAAAAGTATATTCGAATTTATAATATTGAAAGTTTGTATGAAAACAGCAAAAGATGCAAATGCAAAAGTATATTTTAGTTTGCGCTGCAACACTTTCCATGTTGTTATCGGTATCCGGGTAATTAGGGAGGAACTTGCAAAAGTCTACTGTAGACAAATGAGGGAAAGATCAGAATCATAACTGTCAAGATGGAAGCATGGAGAAGACCGGAATTGATAGGAAGAAAAGAGAGGGAAACGATGGACAAGGGACAGAAAAAAGATTGACAGGGAACTACAGCCAAAGCACACCCAAAGTAAGATGTACACTAAGGAGATGGGAAGAGAGAAAAGGGGAAGACCCACCCACTCTCAGAAAAGAGATATTAAAAGTGAGTGGCTAGTTTGTTACTGATGAGTTCGATCAAGCGGTTGGAGCTGAGATTTCCCATTGGATTGCTATCGCTTGGATTCATTTGCGTTTTGTTAAGGTAATTGGCCAATTTCAACTGTTATCTATACGAATTTTTAGTGTTTTGAATGTAAATTTGGCATCGGAACGGGTTTTTCCGCTGCTTTTGGCTGGATTACTAACACTGCCACTAACAGCTTTACGGTAAGATTAGATTTTGGACAAATATAGAATTGACTAGCTTTACTCTTGTAAATGTTATAGCTTGTAAATCAGAATACAAAGATTTCATAACCATATTTCCTTGTCATTCAGAAAAAAACAACCCTAGATCTTTCCATTTACGACCCTCAAACACTTCCATTTATTGCCATGTGACTGAAAATTACTTCCAAAAATTTTGTTTACCAAAAAAAGAGTTTAAAGAGTACGGGGAAAGCACAAGCTAATTTTCGAAACATCATATCAGCTTTGATCCATTCTGTCACTCGACAACAAACCACGCCATCCCCATGTGCCTTTTGCTTTCGAAATAAAAGTGTTGTAGTTTGTTTTATGCTATACTCTAGCTCTAGAAGAACTTATCTAAGCAAGGTAATCTAGTGCAGTAGTACAGTAACCAAAGATTGATTAGAATACCCATCACAGTGCTAACAGCTTTAGCTACGAAACGCATTTTAGACTAAAATCTAATAGCTCACAAGTATCTAAACTTGACATTGTATCGAATAATCTAATCATCTAACACAGTGGCCTATTCCTATAACTGTACCTGCATGTGGCCAAAGAAGTGCCTGATCAGCTATTAAACTTCTAAAATTTAACTGATAAAGTTTAACCATTGCCATCAGCTCTGTCAAACAAGACCAGGTTAAACCTATACCGCAACTTACCGTAAGCCCCACTTTTCAGACGGTTCTATAACCTATAAAACTTACAGTATCAGTTGAAATCTAAATTTTTGCATTTCTACCGCTTTCAGAAAAGTTTTCGAAACACGGAACAGTTTGTGGGGCGCCCGTTTGTGGAAGCTGAGCATCCTTGTGCCGATAACAGCCTCTCCGTTTCTCCTTCAGGTATTCAATGTAAACATTGCATTTCCTTCCCTCTCTTTTTTTTTTGTAGATCACTTTGCACTTTGCTTTCTACCGTATTGCGGAATTGATTTAGCTTTGAACTGAAGCTATGTAACCATTTTCAGTAAATTTCCAATCTAACTTTGCACAAATTTCCCAAGTTTAGTTGTTTCGAGGCTTTTATTAGTTTCAACTCATTATTTTCAAAAATTGCTTGTGCTTTGTTTGCTCACTTCTTTACCTCATTGTTTACAACTATCGCCCCCGAAGTTTTCCATTCAATAAATGAATTTATCAACCTTATTTTTTAGACAACAAATTGTGTCAACTGTTCTTCCATCTTTCAAACGATCGAGGATTGCTTTAAAGTGAAATTCGGTGGAAAATGGCTCAAGTTTTATTTGAGTCTGGAGTTGGCCTTTCGATTGGCGATCGCCATGAGGTCGGTTATTCCTATTTCAATAACAAAACAAAACCGTTTTCGAACCTGATCCTTATATTTAATTGAATAGCAAACGGTAATGAGATATTTTTACTTTCAGGCATTCACCGAATCAACGAGATGAATGGGCGATGAAGGTGCATCACGTATTGACGATTACCCTTCTCTCTGGTGGAATCTTCTACGGATTTCACGGCGTCTCGATGCTCATTCTCGTCACTCACAACATTTCGGATATTTTCTTGTCAGTTGGAAATGATTTATTCAAAATGTTGTAGGCAATAGATGGCTGCAAAAACAACACATAGCCTTGTTTACCATATCGTTCAGCTTTGGAAAAAGCCGTACAAAACATTTTCTAATCTGCTAAATCATTAATAAACATATTACTGTCTATTCAAGCCATTGTCTTATGACCTTTTTCTCCAAAAAATTCTTTTTGTCTAGACTTGCCGATCCTTGATCCTCAACCTTTTCTAGGGGCCGTCCCAGATCATGCAAATCGATTGCCCTGGGCAATTCGATCATACTAGAAGCATATGCCCCGTTCAAACTAAATACATTATTTGATCAATCAGGTCATGCCAATATTTGTTGATGAATCCTTGAAAAGAAAAGGGTCTTTCGATTCGCACATTCAAGTAAATATTGAAAGGAGATTGATAAAGTCTATTAGAAACAGAACATTTAGATCAAAAGTCATTTGGACTTGAAATGATTGACAAATCGCGGAGAAAATGTATATAGCATTAAAAGACGAATATTTTATAAGATTTAACTTTAATTTCCCCTTTAGAGACGCTTGTCAAATCGTTCGCCTTCGAAAGAGTGCCCAATGGATGCAAGCGATCACTTTCATTACATTGCTGATCTCATGGATTTTGACGAGAAATCTTTTTTATCCGATGATCATCGTTTACACTTTTACTACAGCAACTTATGATTTCTATGTGAGTTATTCTAAGGACTAAAATAAACAACTCTTTAAAAAGTGATTGAAGGATAGTTAAACCCTAGCTGCAGTTGTGGAAAGTTCTATTTTCAGAGTCTCTCTTTTCGAGAATCACCCTGGGAGTATCAAATCTTGGCCTTGGCCCTTCTCCTCCTCCAAATCCTCCATCTTTTCTGGACCGGATCTCTGCTTCGAGTGGCAATCAATTTATATCAAAAATCTCAATTGCAGGAATGAAATAAAAGTGTGAAATTTACTTTGATTGAAATTCGTTGAGATTTTAGAATTTGAAACATGCATAAAATTGATTATCTAGGCTGATTTAAAGTCAATCATAGAGATGTTATAGTTCTATTTTTAGTAGTCCCTTACTTAATTTTCCCGAATTTACATTTTCAGCCAAGTTTCGAGGTTTAAAAAAATTTCTGTGTGACGTTGAATAGAATGGAGTAGAAATAAAGCGAATATTGAAAATAAAGCGCTCATTTTTAGGAGTAAATAGGTGGGGTTTGGCTGTTGGCCAAATGGTGTTATTTGAGCTATTTCAGATATGTATGTTTGCATCATCCGCTCATAGGCCAATTTGTTCAATTTTTGAGTGTAATTGTCGCAAAACCGGCCATAGTATTACCTAAATGACACAAAATTAACCAAAGATTAGATAAGTCGATGAAAAACGTGGCAATGTATTGAGCAAAAGGTTTGGTTTCTAAAATTTTCTCAGTTTTCTGCATAGTTTATCAAATCTTAGCCAGAGTTTGATCTAAGCCGACAGTCTAATTGAAAGAGTTGAAAGAATAATCTTTAAAGATGCCAGCAAGTTTTATAAGTATCAACTCAGCAACCCAACCAACAAATCTGTAATTTTGTTGTGTCGAAGAACGATTGTGTTCAGAACTTTATCCAATTGTTGCTTTACTAAATGTTTACTAGAATATCTCTTCATTTTATTTCAAATTCAGTTCTAGTTTTTTTGATAATGAGTTTTATTGAGCGAGAAAATAGAGAATTTAGGAAATAGCCACGAGAAAAGCAACTGGACGTCTCTGCTAATCACATAAAATCAAATCACCGAGACCCAATGGAATGAGACAAAGTTTTTAGGAGACTTTTTGAAAAAGCTGATAATGAGTCTTTTCCAGATTCTAAAACTTGTATTATATCAAAGATTTTTTTTAAATAATGCTATATAAATGTTTTTATAGTTACTATTGTTGGTTTGTTGCGCATTGCTTGGCCAAGGCATAATTCAATCGCAAAAATTACTTGAAGCTGTATTTTGAGAGAAAAAACATGGAATTGTTTAGACGAGAGGATTCTGGAGGATGAAAAATGAGAGGAAGAGATGAATAGGGAAAGGAGAGAAAGCGGGGGGAAAGAGGAAGGGAGAGGGGGAGGCACAGAAGGACGGAGCCCCACACGAGATGTCATAAATCCCGGTGCTCAGTATTGAGGTCCAGCTTGAGACTTCTTTGCACAACAGATTCCAGCTAATCTTTTAAATTTTAAATTTGACACTTGGCATGCAGTTCTCATTAAGATTTGAAACTCTTACTGACTCTTATAGTTGTAAAAAGTTATTCGACCCTGTCTTGTCTTGTCTATTTGGGTTTTTTTAAGCTTTAAGTTTTGCATTTAATAATCTTTATTTAAAAATCTTTTTTTCAGCTTTCTGATGAATGTTAACTCTTCTATTATCATCTTTTTATCCTTCATTGAGCTTTCACGGGCACTTATGAATAACCCATATCGAGGTTGGTGATAATCAATTGGGGTAACTAAATTTATATCTAAAAGGTTTTAAAACTCTATCTATATCTATAACTAATAGATATTTATGTTATTCTTGTTATATAGATCAATTTAGATTCATAATATTACATAGATAATATTTAGATAGCTTTTCTATTTTTACAATGAGGCTTCTGCTGATGCCAAGAGCTTCAAGAGCTTCAAGTGCTTAGGCAGAGCTTTAAGTGCTTAGGCAGAGCTTCAAGTGCTTAGGCAGTCTAATGTTTATGTTAAAACACTAATAATAAGACTCAAATAGTCTCAGTTTTACTGACAAATCATCTTCAAATGCTTTAATACCTTGTAAATTTATTTTTGTTTCTGTTTTTTATGAGTGTAGTGGAGAAGGATGATAGATGGAGTACCATTTCTTTCACTGGCCAATTTCACATCAAACTTTACCAAAATTTAACTCTTATCTTGGTCAAATAATGATCTAATTTAGAAAGTTTCGCAATTTAGAAAGTTTCACTAAGAAATCTAGAGACTTTCATGCCTCCATTACACTTAACGAGCTCTTTGAAGTTCAAGATCTCCCCCGATAATGAATGAAAAATAGACTATCAATTTCTAGCCTGAATATTCATTTTTCACAAGTTGATGAAGTTTTTGGTTAAACACATCTGTTCTTTTTCTCTTTCTCTTTGCACACGCCGCCACGAAACAACATGGCACACAAAAAAAACGGGGTTTAAGACTAACGCTTCACCACCTGACGATACGAGAAGTCGAAAAGAGATCGAGGAAAAGCAGAAAAGTGCACAGAGTATAAATGTATACACATAAATATCAATCTTTTGAAATTACCCTCACTTTCCTTTCCACTTAGACACCTCTCTTCTTTCTGTAGGGAAGGGGAAAATAGACTTTTTACAAAGATCATCAAGAGTATACCTTTAACGAGTAGATCTTAAATTTCAGGTCCCTCTACATTATTGACGAAATTTTTACAGGAACAGCATGTACCGTGAGTTTTTGAGGTTCAGCGCTGTTCTTTCAACCTAATTTTCCTGGTTAAATTAAGCCAAGGTTTTGGCTTGGCTTTTGGCTTTTCGGAAACGTTCTGTTGGCGATGAGGAAGTAGACCAAGATAATTGTGAATTTGGAAATGCAATTGATCAACAAATAGTTGTCATTGGAATTAGAGTGAACTGGGTTTACATTCCTAACTTACGGCTTCAAAGTTTTTTTGTAAAATTGATAATTTTGCCGTATAATACGACCAATTGACTTTTGACGCAGCTATTCGAAATCTGCGTTTCAAAGTTTATCGAATAATATTAAGCTCATTCAGAAAAGCGTAAGTTGGGAATGTTCCCTAGTTAAGCGTTTTCAATGTTTAAATGATGCTAAGAGTTTAAGTTGATTGTATCAAGTATTAGAGTAAAAAAAGATATTCAGATCAGCTCCCCCGGACGGGGTGATCATCGTGAATCATGAGATGGAGCTAGTTCACATTATTGCCCTTGATGAACTCAAACAGACAATGAGAGTGCTTGTTTATGTTGTGCAGGTAGTTCTGGATAGATTTTGAAAAAGCTTACTAATTATCGAACACCCAAAACATTAGTGCTAGGAATGGAATGACCCGTCGCTCTCATGGGATCCACAAAACTTTGCGAATCTCACTCACACTTGGTTGCCAATCAACACCGTCTGGATTCCAGATATCATCGTTTTTAATATGTTAGTATTAAAGAAAATGAAACAATGATGATTGATTGAATGAAACTGAACTGATGAAACTGAAATGAAACTGATTCTGTTCTAGGTTGGAGCATTCAGAATTGTTGAAAGCAGTGAGAACACCGGTAAAAATCGAATACACTGGCAGAGTCACTTTCACGTATCCAGCAATCTACGCAGTGATGTGTGAATTGAGTGAGTTCTTTAGAATTACAAGATTGTTATTGTTAAAAACATGGACTTTGTTGTTGTTGAGTTTTCTTTCAAAATCTAAATTCAAAGTATCCTGTTATATTTCAACTTCTCGAAAAACTATTCAGAGATCAAAGACTTCCCATTCGATGACCAATCTTGCACGTTGCGTGTAGCTTCTTGGGGTTATGATCAAGAGAAAATCTTGATGAATGCCTCAAATAAAGCCCATCTTGAGCACTACCTTTGCAATGAGGAATGGGCATTGCGGGTATGTGAAAAAAGGATATTGTAAATTTCTGTAGAATGTTGGGATTACAAATGCCACGTATCAACACGAGGGACTCGTCGTGTCTGAGGTCGAGTATGAGATTTCGGTGAGGAGGAAACCTTTATTCTACATGATCACTCTTGTACTTCCCTCATACATCATTTGTATTCTGTCGGTGGCTGGACTCTTTGCGCACTTCTCAACGAAAAATGAGCGCCAGGTTGGGGAAATTATTTTAGAACAATTTCTAAACAAAAGTAAACCAAAAAGAGAAAGTTAAGAATCATATTTTTAAATCTGAAATATGATAGTAAAATCTTTTAGGAAAGATTCACTCTTGGCGTTACCGCAATTCTCACCATGGCTGTTCTCTCGCTAGTTGTTGCTGAGAAAGTTCCGCACAGCTCTGAAGAAGTGCCTCTTATGGGTAATAAAATGTAACCTTAGTAATATTTAATATTTTCTTTTTAAGTTGTCTACTTTCACTTCAACATCATCACCGTGACAATGGGTAAGAAATAAGAATTCTAAAGTCAAAAACTTTTTAGCCACTGTATTCACATCGACGGTGATGAGGGTACACTGGAAGGGATTGCAACGACGGGGTGCACCTCCACCATGGATTTTGAGAGCTTTGTATATCAAAGAACATGAAGAAAGTCATAAAGATGATGATGAGGGGATTGAGGAAGATGTCGAAGGAGACCTGGTAAGTGGTATCACCCACTTACAGGAAGATGTAGAAGGAGATCGAGTAAGTGGTATCACCCACTTACAGTTAGACTTTGGATTCAGGAACTCTCAGGAAACTCTTTGTAGTATTTTTGAATTTTAAAGGATTTGAAATAATAAGTTTAATATGTTCAAGTTAGAATTCAATATAGTTCAATTCCATCAACTTTAGCCATCAACTTCTTGCGGCGTACCGAAGTTAAATCCCAATCGAAATCAAGGTCTTCGTCGAAAACTCCGTCATTCGATCATCAAATCCGAGCAATGGCACTCAATCAGTCGACGTCTCGATTATCTTTTGACTTTTATATTTATCCTTTTAATTACTGGCCCCACTTTGTACATGTTCTATAAAAATCATGAACGAATGGAGGATGGACATGGGGGTTTAGTGAGAGCATGTCAATTTTAGGTATTGAAATATGATAGAATTTTCTCATTTTCTCATTTTCCCGGTGCTGATCATTCCTTGAATAAAACTTTCAAGTATTTAATAAACTATAGACTCTTTTTAACACTGTGTTAATATTCTGTATTTATTATTTTAAACTAAAACCTGGCTTGTTCCCCTTTGCCCTTATTTCTTCCCATACTACGGTAGAAACCTTGGGCAAGAGTTCAAATTTGTGCACCCGAGAGAACACCCGGGTCACTCAAAAAGTCGATGGCAAGAGAGAAAGGAAGTGTTGGAGTGGAAATCGGGAAAAGATGCGCGAAACCCGGGGCGACGAAGGGGAAGAGAGACGGGGAGGGGACGGCCCCTGGCACTGACCAGCCTACCCCACCCCTTTCCACAAAAAGAGAACAGAGGTTAGAAAGACGGGGGTATTGAGGGCTTGGAAGCGTCACGTGTCTGCGTCGCGTGTCCCGCACCGTCGCCGATTTCCCTTCTTCGGTGACTCATCCTCGGTGCGGTGTGTGTGACCCTCTCGTCACCTTCATCTACCTACCTTCTTCTTGTGCTTGCCTGTTTGGCATGTCTGCTGGTCTCATCCGCAGCGACTTCAACGCCTTGCGGAACGCTAACGAGGTTGGTTAGGCAGGAAACAAGAGAAAATTTCATCATTAAACTTGCGAAAGTTTTTTCTGGGGTTGATTGGTGGGAGATTTTGTGAGCAGATTTGACAGCAATTATCTGTGAATAGCGAGCTCTGAGGTTGGTTAGCTAAAGAGCTTTTAGAAATAAATATAGGATTGTTTTTCTAAACTAAGGTTGAGTTAACTATAGTTTTAAGCCACCACTCTAAGTAGTTATATTGACTGACAACCACACCAGTGAATAAATGAACAGCTTACAGTCAAAGTTAAGTACAGTTAAAGTTAAGTACAGTTAAAGTTAAGTACAGTTAAAGTTAAGTACAGTTAAAGTTAAGTACAGTTAAAGTTAAGTACAGTTAAAGTTAAGTACAGTTAAAGTTAAGTACAGTTACAGTTAAGTACAGTTAAAGTTAAGTACAGTTAAAGTTAAGTACAGCTACAGTTAAAGTAAAGTTAAAAGTCCTAGTACTCTGTCTCGCTACATTATGCTTAGCTAAAGGAATTAATAATGCCGGCTGAATATTTTTATTCCGACATACTGTAGTGAGACAAGAGACCGAGGCTTTACAGCATCTTAGTACAAGCTTACAATATTTGACTAATCAATCAAATTTGGAGATATCAGTGCTGCCCTCTTGCACAATAAAGTATTCAGAGCAACATTCATTTATCCATTAGATCAAATCGCAAAACCTTTCCAATCAACCCTTGTACAACACATTAAAAACAATATGCAAAAGTGTCACTCCTGTGATTTCTCTCCTAACTCTAGAAAGCACTAATTTATTTTCTCCCGTAAAATTCTTTATGCATTACCCGAGTTCAATTTGGTGGTTCTTTTGGTGATATGCATTCAAATTGGTTATATAATCGATATCCGTATTTTATCGGTGAAATAAAGGACAAATTTCTCGCATTGATGCTCTGATTTAAAGTGTTTTTGGTATTTGAGAATGCTTTTGCTCGGGTTTTTTCTCGATTTTTTGCCAATTCACCAGGTTTTCCACTGAAATTTTCATGATATGATGTGGTAATTTTGCGAAAAACCCTAATAATTTATATATGCCCGGTTATTTTTGCAAAGTGGAGGAATAAAAATTTCACGTTTTCCGAAAAAGTTAAATAGTGCAAGTTAGTGAGAGTGATTTTGTGACATTTTTAGGGGCAGGCTAGTTTCAGCAACTTTTTTTGCGCAAAAGGGTCATTTGCGCAGCTGGGTCGTTTGCGCAACTCACCATAACTTTTTTCTAAGCTGGTCAATTTTTATGATTTTGGTGTCATTTTGTTGCACTTGTTGAGATCTATAAAATGACACCAAAATCATAAAGATTGGCACACTTAGAAGAAAGTTATGGTGAGTTGCGCAAACGACCCAGTTGCGCAAATGACCCTGTTGCGCAAAAAAAGTTGCCGAAACTAGCCTACTCCCATTTTTACGGTTTACAATGGCTTTTCATATTGTTTTTGCACAATTAAAGGAGAAAATCAGATATTTCGGTAAGTAACTGTGTATTTTGGCGGGAAATTTTTCGTTTAAATCTTGCGTGTGCAAAAAAAAGTCGTTTGCGCAAAGAGTGTACGCATTGATTTGTCAACTTTCCAGTTTTTAAGTAACTTTTGATATGTCAATCATTTGAATTGCTAAATTTTAGTACATGGAAGCAGTAGCCGGTTCTTAATGAGTTGTTAGTAAAAAGTTAAAGAGAATTGGAATTAGAATTGGAGTAAGAGTAAGTTAAAGAGAATTAGCGACAATCTTGCGCATTTTGTTCTAGAATTGGCTCGAATTTGATAACTTTCGCCAAATTTGAAGTAAGCTCGTGGTTAAATTGTTATTAGCTATGGAAATTATATTTCATTTTTCTAGAATAACACCTCCTTGAACCTATCCAACGTCAGCTATTCACCCACTTTCGCGTTTCCCCCGTTTGTTCTATAAATTGGTGCATAGAAATCGGTTAATTTATATCATCGAGCTTTCTATCTTTTTCTAATGAATTGAGTATTTAATATGGTTTTGATTTGTTCCAGCTGGCTGCTCACGACTCTATCGCGCAACTCGCTGGTGTCAAGCGAGGACTCGACTCCGGAGACGACTGTACGTATTAGTTTCATCTCTTACACCTTCGATTTGTATCGTTTGCTTTTTTCTTTTTTTTGTATTCATCAAATTCAGTGTCTTTTTGTATAATGTTACTGGTTATATGCCATGATTGAGAAAAAGAACGTAAATTTTGGGATCTGTGTTGCACTTGTTCAAATTCAAGCTTGAGTCGTTTTAGCACGTGATGTTAGCTTAATGTATGAGTGACTAATGTCTTTAATTTAGACCCGGCAAAGAAGAGCAACTCGGGTAACGGCAACATGGACGGAACTCTTGGTATGAGTATGGGAATGCCGATTACGATTGCAGGTATGAATTGATGCTAGTTTGTTAGCATCTGCACCCAGCTCTTAAGACAAATTTAGTATGCTATGAAGCGTTATTATTAAGATACCTAAATTTGGACAAATTCATGGTCAGTTAACTAGAGTCTAAAAGCATTATCCAAGAAACTACTACAACAAATTGTGGTTTCATTGCATAAAAGTATAAAACGCGCTAGAACGGTCCATGAGCCGAGAGACCATTTTATTTCGTGGTAAATTAGAATCACTCAAGAGTGTCTGTGTGTGCTGGAGGGGGGGGGGGCTGAGGGGGAGGCGAGTAAGAGAAAAGAAAGCGGCAAAGAGGGCTCTGTCCTTTGCACGGCTCGACTCCTCGGGGGGTTCGCGTCGCCGCTTCGTGTGCCCCCATCGGTGGGGTGTGCACAGAGGGCAGATCAATCGATAGTCCCTCTCTCTGTTCGGCCATTTGAGCTGAGAAAGAGACGAGCCGGGGCGCGCCCTATCGTCCCTTGCAGTTGGCGCACTCCCGCACGCAACTCGGCCCACCGCGTATCGCTATGGACCGATTCGCGCCATTCCATAGTAAGTTTTAGTTTAACTTGTTTGATTACACTGGAGCAGATGTGTTTCTGCATTCATTGCTTAAATCTCCCCATCCTATGGACAATTTCACCGTTTCTAGTCGCCATTGGCTTTTCATTTACCCAGAGGCAATAACGTAATTGCCCAACATCTACTTACCGGATCGCTCAGTTAACTGACCATTTTCAATTCCTAAAACTCCTTGTTTTTTATTTGACTAAGATGATTTGTGCAATGAGCGCAATGAGTGGGTTTAATATTTAATTCCTATAATGCTATTTATTTTAGGTGCGGGAATGGGAGCCCCTGCTCCATTCACTATGGGGCAACCAATGGGAGCCAACATGAATGAGAATGTCGTCGAAGTGATCAATGTGCCGGACAACACCGTCGGACTTGGTGAGACCTTGAAATACTTATAATTTATATTGGCTAATGTAAATTAGTGCCAGTACTTTCTAAAACTTGAGATTAGCTGTGCAACCCTCTAGATCGACATTGTCTTGTAGTTTGAGCTAAATATCTTGCTCTTCTTATAACCCACTCTAGGCCAGAAAACTTAAATTAAGCTTATAGCGTGCAAACATTTCTAAAATAGTCATTGGTCAGGAATTGCTCGTTTTTTATTGGCGTTGATGGGTGACCGATCAGGGGGTTTGAGGGTCACCGAGGCCAAAAGATGAGAGAGTTTGGGGAAGGGAGAGGATGAGACAACTCTAAAACGCAGCCACTCCTGTTCGGTCTACGTCCACATATCGATTTGTTTCTCCCAAGTGTAGTCTAGGGAGGGAAATGTGAAATTGAGATGGCTCAAGAAAACTAAATCAAAGACGATAAAGAACAAACGTTTAGAATAGGGGTCTTTCGTGGAAAAATAGTGCATTGATCTGCGCCTTGAAAATTCAATTCAATTTTTGAACTTTTAGTTATTGGACGTGGTGGCGAGCAAATTTCGGCAATTCAGTCGCAATCTGGAGCCCGTGTTCAAATGTCACCGGACAGCGAAGGAACCGGTCAACGCCAATGCACGATTCAAGGAATGAAGGCCGCCGTTGAAAGAGCAAAGCAATTGATCTTTGAGGTAAACAGTTGCTTTATCAATAACATTACGAAATTAGGTAGCTGTTAAATAAAAGAGAAACAGTTAGCACAACTTTTAGCCGATAATTATGTAAATTTTGTGGCTTCTAGTGAATATAAAAGTGTATATAATATTTATGCCTTGTTTAGGTTATCAACCGTGCTGGAAATCGCCCACCACCAAGTCAAACCACCCAACTAACTAGCGGACCTGGACAAATCACGGTCGAATTGTTGATTCCTGCCAACAAGTGTGGACTTGTGATTGGAAAACAAGGAGACACAATTCGCCAGCTTCAGGCAGGCTTTCACTTTCTTGATAATAACTTTTTATATTTTAGGAACAATCCGGCGCCAAGATGATGATGATCCAGGACACGCAAGAAGTAACTGGAACCGCCAAGCCTCTTCGAATTGTTGGTGAACCAGACAAAGTTGAGAATGCGAAGAGATTGATCGAGAATATCATCGCTGGAGGTCCCGAGGGTATGGCCAGCTCGCGCTTGTATGGACAACAGGAGGCGTCTGCACGGGGAGAGGTTAATTTAATTATTTTTCATTCAACTTTAATTTTTATAGGTTGTTGTTCCTCGCGCATCGGTTGGCATGATTATTGGAAAAGGCGGTGAAACGATCAAGCGCCTCGGATTGGAGACCGGAACGAAGATTCAGTTCAAGCCAGATGGTGTGTTTTTATTGATTTTATTTATTTACACTTTCCTTGTTTAGACGACCCTTCGGCTATAGAACGAACTGCTGTTATCACTGGATCGCGCGAACAAATCTTTAAGGCAACGGAATTGATCACTGATCTCGTACAAAAAGCACTAGCTGTAAGTCTTTTAAAGCTTTATCAAATATTCGTGTCGTTTAGGGTGGCGGCTCAAATGATACTTTCTACATGCACGTACCTGCCAACAAAACCGGACTTGTTATTGGAAAAGGGGGAGAAACTATCAAGCAGGTAATCGTTTAAACAAGTCATGTTTTAATGGCCTAGTGTCATGAATCTCATCAAGCAGTTCTTTAATTTAGATCAACGCTGAATCCGGCGCTCATTGTGAGCTTTCACGGGATCCACCACCAAATGCCAACGAGAAAGTCTTCATCATCAAGGGTACTCCGTATCAAATCCATCATGCTCAACATATCATTCGGATCAAGGTAAAACTTTAATCGGTTTTCGAGGATTACACGTTTATTTTAGGTTGGAGATGTCCCTCCAGGTACACCAGTTCCACCGTTCAGTGGCCCAGGAGGGCCAACGATGATGCAGCCACAGATGGGGTTCCAACAAAACCCTGGATTCAATGGAGTCGCTCAATTTGGACAACCGATGCCCGCCAACAACCAATGGAGTAACATTTTTGGTTAGCTTATTTGAGGCCTAGCGATTGATTTTTGCCCTCCTGTAGATGAAAGAAATTCTGAGCATTAGGAAATCGTTTCAATCTCTTCATTATGTGCTTGTTTAGCTCAGCAACAACCAGCCGCTAACGGATGGCAACAGCCGCAACAAACCGCCTACTACGATCCATCTCAACAGGCCCAAGCAGCTCAGCCACAACAAGCAGCATATGGTGGAATGGGGGCTACAGCAAATCCCTACGGACAACAGCAATTCGGAGCTCCGGGAGTCGGCCAACCAACAGCCGCCCAGCCTGCCGCTCAACCTGTCCAAGCTCAACCCACGATCAACCCAGCCACCGGACAGCCTGATTACTCCGCTCAATGGGCCGAGTACTATCGTCAGATGGGAATGCATGATCAAGTAAGGGATTTGTCTTTGTCTTTCAACAACAAAATTTACTAATAAAAAGCTATGTATAGGGTTTATCATGCTGGGTTTGATGTTTCGCATTGTAACATCATTCGACCAAACAGTTAACTATTTCAGGCGGCCGCTATTGAGAATCAATTGAAGCAAACGCAAGGCGTTCGTGGTGCTGTGCCCCAACAAGCTGCTCAACCTCAATTCGGAGGGTATCAGCAGGTTTGTATTGTACTTTTTTTAAACTTTAACTTTCTTCATTCCTTTAGGGAGCCGCCGGAGTGCCAGCCTCGGGAGCCACCACCATGCCGACGTTTGCTGCCTCTCAGCCACAACAGTATCCCTACTCGCAGCCTTATTAAAGCAAGCTGTACGTTTTTTTCCGAAAATTTTGACACACTTACCCATTAATCTCATTGACCATACCACCACTAACAACGGAGATTGCCACTTTAGCTTAGGCCCTTTTTCTAAGGTTATCCCCATTGAAGTTTTATGATTGTAAATTTTGTGTCAGGATCTCTAAAATTTTCCTAGTTTTGCCGCTCTGAGTTAAATTTGCTGAAATTTTATATGCGTTTTAATATATTCCCGTTCCCGTGCGTGTACCATGTGTTCGATCCGCCATCAAATTTCGTGTGTTATTGAGTTTCGCGACAAGTGTTTTTCCTTGTGATGATTCTCTTTTATTGCGTCGCTCCCCATATTTGAAATTATCGCTCGATTGTTAACTGTTATTTGCGCGTGCACACCACGGGTTTGGTCTCTTTTACATATTCCCCCACTTGGTCCCCCCTTACTCTGTATTTCCGTGGTTAATTTTTGGTCATGGTCCAGTCAATGCGAGTCACTGTTTCGAAAATTTTGTCATTTTTACGTGAATTGTTATGAAAATTTTATAGCTGTGTATTCATAAATTTATTGTGACTTTGGCATCTAGCAGTTTAAGCGAAAAGATTGGCGCTTTCTCGGGTGGTATTGTTAAGTGATTGTGGTGAATCGATCTTAGTGTGTGTCTTTAGGTTCGGTAATATCTAAAAAAGCAGAACATCAAATCTTGTTCCATGTTTGGAGCCATCTTTTTTTCTATTTAGTTAGCTCTGAATTGTGTAATGTGTGGTGTGTATCTTTTATGGTATTTTAAGTTTATTTTTCTTTGCAGGCCCTCAGCGACGACGGGAGTCTTCCATTAAACATTGTTCGCTCCGTTCGTTTCCTCTCTTGTCGTGCTGTGCTCTTCCCTTCTATTTTTCAGTGAGGTTTTCCTTTTTACAATTATGTTCTATTTCCCATTGGTCCAACAATTTTTCGCAGTTTAAATTTTGTTAATGTTCTATTTTTTTATTGGTCGTATTTATTATATTCGTGAAGAGTTTAAATCTATTTTCCCGCCTCCATCGTTTATTGTTAGTGGTTTATGATAAAATTAATTAAAAATTCTTTATTCACAATACACAATATTATTAAAAAGACAAAATTGAACCGTGTGTGAAACAAACAAAATTTTAACCCGAAGTTATAAGAGACTAGAGATCAATCGTTGAGATCAGGGGAGATATGAAGAGATCCGCGAATTTAAAAATTCTAACCATATGATTGAATCACAAGGATACAATGAGCAAAAGTAAAAAGATTTAAATTTAAGAGTATAAACTGGTAGCCGTACATATAAAGCTATCAGTGGTATTACTGTTAAACTGGCTTGTAAGCAGTTAATGTAGCAGTAAGCTTGAATAGCCAGAGGTTTCCGCAAGGTTTACGAGATATTTAGTCAAACACCTTTATGAAAAACTCTCAAGTTATTGAATTTTTACAAACTCTCAACTAAAAGAGCCCATAGATAGGCCAGAATTTCGTTGTTCCAATTCAATATGTTCAACGAGGGCCACATTTGCGTTCCCTTCTGGATCCGCTTTCCGACGTGAACCCAAACTTGGCCAACTCGGAATTCGCCCGCGTAGAATATGATCCGAGGCCAACATTTTACCAATACTAAGCACTTGTTCTGCGTGTTGTGCCACGAGTTGACGATGTCGCATACGGATTCGCTGAAAGTTTTAGATTATTCGATTGTTTATCGTTTTTTTTCCTCACCTTTAGCCTTCTTGATTCAAAAGCGGCTTTCAAGATCACGAAAACAAAAGAATTTGTGGCTGAGTTTAGAAGAAGCAGAAATTCGGAGGCATTTGCTGGAAGAAGCCTCTCGATAATACCATCGCCAAAGAACACCTGAAAAATTTATCATTAAACTGCGATATTAGACTTAGTTGTTATTAGAACTGGTATTTTAATGATTAGAAGTGAAACCAACCCCAGCTACAGCCACAGCTGTTGGCCAACATCGAAGCAGCAAGAATTTACCAAGTAGTAGCACGGAGATCATCTGGAAATTTGAGGATTTGACAAGATTTGTTTTTTTACGAACCATTGAAGCCTGATATGCTTTGGAATTCTTTTTTATTCAATTTAGAAATATTTTTCACCTGAAGTGATCGAGTTTTGTCTTGATCAGCTGCAAAAAGATGCTCTTTCCCTTGTTCTAAAAGAATCAACGCTCGACAGTCCATCGATTCACGTAAACCTAAATTTATAATAGTCTTAATTCGAAAGAATTCTTACCTTTAACTGTAGAAGCGGTGAGCAGTGTGATGACCACGAATGGGCCAAAAGTTTTCATGATTGAAAGTAATAGAGTGTGAAAGAGCACTTTGTAGTAAGGATTTAGCATTAGATCGGTTTTCACTTTCTGAAAGGAAACAATAAAATCTTTTTCTTTTTATTGTACCTGATTGAGGGTTTGATCGTTGTGAGTGCACGGGATGAGACGATATTCGAAAGAACAAGGCAAAGTCAGAAGACAGGCTAATGCGGTCAGCACCAATGGGAGACGGATTAGACCTGCAAATTCGTACAGATATAAGCATTGATCTTCATTAGATTATTCCGATTGTAGGCTTTAGCTCTCAAAGTCCGTTCATAATTGAATTTAATCGAGCGCCTCATTTTCTGGTCTAACTAGGGAATGGCGTCAACTTAAGCCTTTTTGAATTAGCTTATCTGATAGAGTTTTGAACGCTGATTTCAAATCTGTTTGGTTTTCAAATGATTCCAAATTTTTAGTTTCACTATCCCTTGATGGAGCCCTGGATCGCGATCTGGTTAAAAAGTTTAACTCGCATTTTCAGAGTTAACATATGCCTTCTTGCTTCCCTCAAAGATAACGGAGGCGTAGTGATAGTGTCCGCGTGTTTGTGGCGCTCTTGAACCCTGCTTCGAATCCCCTTAGCGTCAAAACTTTTGCTTATTTGTTAAAACGTTATACAGGGCACCGTTGGTGAAACTAAAATCAGATTTGGAATCAGCGTTCAAAACTCTATCAGATGAGTCAGCCTTTTTGAATCGGCCTTGGCCTTAGCCTAATTTAGCGCCATTCACTAGTAAGTTCTAATTGAAGCTTTGTGCTTTAGAAAACGCACACCTTCTGGTACGCTGGATTATGCCCCGACTTAAGTGCGTTAAGCTTAGCTTTCCCTTTTTACTCCAACTCAAATCTCACCTCCGATAAGTCGAGCATAACTCGGACGTCTCGGTTTCCCCCTCATCGATGCAGCTGAATGAAAGGGACGTGTGACGGCAAAGAATCTCTCAGCTGACACAACGATTAGCATCCATGTCTGACGAAAGGATCAGTATTGAGAGATCTTCTGTCACTTACCGATGTGATATGAGCACATTCGAGTAATCCGTTTAGCGCCACCGCCCATGGATCCCAGAGCGACTCAGCGATTTGGAGGTAGTGCAGAGAGGCCCAGATTGAGTGGTGCATGAAAGCGGTCACTAACAGCACGACATCCCAAACGGCTAGGCCTGAATTCAAGTTTTATAATGATTGACTTAATATTTGCCACTTGGCATCTATTGGAAGGGTAAGGGGATTGCTGAATTGGGTGAATCAAGTTTAAGTTCGTAAAAGAAATGGAGAATGACGGTAAAATATGAAATCTAATCGTTATAAAAGACATTTGGACTTTAAAATCAATAAAACTTAGAAAGTTATCGGAAGAGGCAAAAAAGGCGCTAAAATTTTACCCGAAGATTTCGATTTGGCTTACTTGCAACACTTGAAATTAGCTAAACTAATTTTTAACTGACCAATTACGTTTTCTGGTATGTTATTTGAAAATTTAGCTCTTTTTTTAAGCGTTCTCTACCTGTTAGTGAAACGAGCATCGCTGTGTTGATCGACGTGCGGAATAAGACTCGAAGACTGTACAGATTTCCGACAACACCTCAATCAAATCAATAAGCAATGCCTTCAAAGATTTATAGTTAGCTTTTAAAGCTAGTTTATCTACCAAGAAACTTCCTTTGAAAATCTTCAAATCCCTTCCATTATTTTTTTGGCAATGAAAATTCAATTAATTCTAGTTTTTCTTCTGATTTCTCTTCAGAGAAGCTAAATGTGGCAAAGATTCCACAAATGAAAAACTAGGATGGAAACCTTTTACGAAAAGGAAAACATTCATCAATTCATTTAGAAGATTATTTAGTACAAAGAGATGAAAGGGAAAAGAGAAGTGTCAATGAGAATCCCCTTTTCTCACTTTTAATCCCTCTCGTGTTCACGAAGAAACTTCTGACGCATGTATCCTCTCGTTTTTCTCTTCAACGATCATTTTGTGATAAACAACTTCTCAATTTTTTGAGAATGATCAACAAGTGAATCAATTGTTGAAACAATTGATCAATTGTTTCAAAGAAGAAGGAAATGTTTAATCAAGAGTTTTTAAAGTATAAGAGTTTGGCTAAGGATTAGACTTGTTTCTTTGTTTTTCTTTGAAGCATTGAATGCATGAATCCATTTCAGACATGGACAAGCATGTGACCGGTGCCGAGTGTCGACTAGTTAAAGTTAAAGAATTCTTGTCAAACTTATACTTTAAAAACCTCTTGATTAAACATTTCTTTCTTTTTGTTATAATTAAAATAATAAAAGTTTGAAGAGTTAAAACGGAATGGGAATTTTTATCAATTAGAAAATAGCTTTTCTGGGAAAAATAGTGCGATAGAACTGGATTTTAAGGTAAATTGCCGCAGAGAAAATTAGAGCTTTGTAAAGATAAAGAATTCATTTAGATTTAGCTTAGTTATGTTTTTCAATTGTTTAAACAAACCGAGAACAATGACGATAAGTGAGAGTGGGCCATCAAAGAGGAGAGATGCGTCGAGAGGCGGTAGTCGACACTCGGCACCGGTCACATGCTTGTCCATGTCTGAAAAGGACTCATGGATTCAATGCTTTAAAGAAAAACAAAGAATATTTGAATTGTAAAGGAATTTGAGGAGATTAAAGTCATTGGCTTACGATTGTCTGATTGATTTTTGATTTTTGTCAAGTCATTGGTTTATGTTAATTTCAGGAAGAGTTAAGGATTTCCAAAAAGAGAAATTAGTGGAATAAATAGTATGTAAAAGGTTAAATTTTGAGATTTTAAACGATTCTTTAGCTAGTTGTAAATTAAAAGAAATGATTTCCTTTTCGTATATGAAAACAAGAGAAGTGAAGACTAATGGGAGGAGATCAATGCGAGACAAATCCCATGAAATGAGTCTTAGACAAGAGTTGAATGTTCTCTAGGGAAACTTTGATACTTTTTTTTCCCATCAGATTTCCTCTTTTTAATAATTAGTGAAGTGATTCTTCAAATACTGCCCATTTCTGACACCGAATTATGATTGAGTTTCAAAGGAATGAGACTAATGAAGATGTAAAGGAGGGGAATTCGAGGATATCCTGAAAAATGAGTTGCTCAGGGGTTTCTTGATGTTTTTGGTGTTCTGCGAGTAAGCTAAAAGAAACTAAAAGATTATTATTGACGTATTCAAAAAGCTTTAGGTCTGTCACACGGATTTATAAACAATCTCCAAAGCTGTTTAGTCAATCTCTTGTGCTGTTTTTAAAGTCTATCCATTGAAATCTATTCTCTACAAATTTCTACTCTCTACAAATCTCTATTTCTGGGAGGTAGTCAAATGAGCGCCAACAATTGGGCGCCAATCATTTCAGCGCCAACGATTTGGCTCACGCTTATTTCAGCGCCACTCATTTGAGCGCCGTGCCAAAAATGACTGGAAAACAATCATTTGAGCGCCAAATTAAAAAGGCCTAAAAACGTTCATTTAAGCGCCGGGCCAAAAATGACTGGAAAACGTTCATTTCAGCGCGACTAAATTTTAATATTTTTGCTTTCTACGCTGCTTTTGCATGTTTTTTAGGGTTTTGCTTCTGTTTTTACACTTTTTTTCACTCATTTGACCTAGGGCACGGTAGTAGGCATCAAATGCGCGGAAAAAATTGTTAGATTAGCTCGTATTTAAGGTTTTTTGATGAAAAGTGTAAAATTTGCTAGTTGTATGATATTTTCCCCAATAGCATGCTTTTCACCGTTTCTTGCCGTTTTCGTTTACAATTTGCTTACAGTTAACATAGTTCTTTGCTTAGGCTCGTGAACTGCGCAAGAAGTGGCGAGACAAAGGAACACTCTGAGTCAAAGTAACGTTTTGTTCATGATTTATTTTGGTTTATTTTGCTGCCAAGAATTATTTTTATCTTTAGATGATTTAGATAAAAACATACAGTAAAAACTTTGAGATCATGCAGAAAATGCAAAAATAACATGCATATACAGAATGGGCTGATTCGGCGCTGAAATGAATGTTTTCCAGTCATTTTTGGTGCGGCGCTGAAATGAACGCGCGCTAAAATGATTGGCGCTGAAATGATTGGCGCTCAATTTTTGGCGCTCAATTTTTGGCGCTCATTTGACTACCTCCCCTATTTCTCTACAAATTGACATCTATTCTCTACAAATTAAAAGTAGATTCTTTTATCTAATTTTAAGTTGACGAAAGTTTACATAAATAACTAGAAAGATCTAGATCAATTGACTTACGAAATTTTAGTTCTTATTCGAAAAAATAGCACTCATTGATCGAAAATTTAGCGGATAGCTATCACAAAATTTGTTAAATCATTAACGGCTTTGGATAAAACAAAAAAAAGCAACTCTTGACTAGATTGGGTAAACTTTTAAGATCAAAAATTGAATACCGTATTTTCTCTAATAGTAGTGCATCCCGGCGAGCTGAGTTGGTGACGATTTTACGGTTTTCAAGCTTTTGCAGAAGCTCAACACTCAAATCCCCCACAAGATCTCATCAGCTACATTTTCCGATCCCACATTGATCGGTTCTGCGGTTCTCGAGGTTTCGAGGAATTTAGGCAACGCTTGGGGTGCACTACTATTAGAGAAAGTACAGTATATAATTTCTATTTAACTCTCTCTAGTAGTAGTGCACTTTGGCGAGCCGAGTTGGTGACGATTTTACGGTTTCCAAGCTTTTGCAGAAGCTCAACACTCAAATCCGCCCACTAGATCTCATCAGCTACATTTTCCAACCCCACATCAATCGGTTCTGATAAGCGGTTCTCGAGATTTCGAGGAATTTAGGCGACGCTCACGGTGCACTAATATTAGAGAAAATACGGTAATTACAATTGTTTACAGATATACGCAGAGTTTACAGATATTACAGATACGCAGAGACAGACACAGCTCTTTCCATATACCGTCTTCTCTCTAATAGTAGTGCACCCCGGTGAGCCGAGTTGATGACTATTTTACGGTTTCGAAGTTTTCCCAGAAGCTCAGCACTCAAATCCCCCACAAGCTCTCATCGTGAGCTACATTTTCCAACCCCACATCGATCGGTTCTGATAAGCGGTTCACGAGATTTCGAGGAATTTAGGCAAGGCTCAGGGTGCACTACTATTAGAGAAAATACGGTATATATATAAAGCAAAACAGGATCATAAAAAAGGGTTTAAAAGTTATCAGAAGTTAACAAAAACTTTATTGGCTTTATAAAAGTGCTAAAAACAGAAGATTGCATGGAAATAAATAATATAAAATGTAGAAATGACAAAATGTGACCCAGAAAACCATATCTATTTTCGAGGAAGCGAGAAAAATTCAAAAATTTGAGCTACTCTCGATTCTCGGGATACACAAAAATGGCAACAACGAGAGACAAAAAAAAACCAAAAATTTCTACAAGATCCGTTCCAAATTTCCTTTTCAACTGATTGTCTGAAGTGAAAATGAAGTCTGAAAACGATGGACTTATGACCAAAGTTCTCACAAAAATAAACCAATCATTAGCCGATTTTAGAAAACTTTTTTTCAAAAGACCATCTATTTTTGAGTTTTTTTTAAGAGTTTCAAGATCACTTTTCCACGTTTTTTTCGATAATTCAGAAAATTCACACTAAAATTTGGTTAATTCTGAAAGACTAGAGATTTAGCAGGGAAAAAACGTCAAAAAGTTTGAGGTTTTTGAAGATTTGAGTAATTTTATGGCTTCAGGAAGAATAGAAATATGATTGAGTGAATGAGGAAGGGGAAAGAGAAAGAAGAGAAGAGAAAGAAGAGAAGAGAAAGAAGAGATGAGAAAGAAGAGAAGAGAAAAGTTAATCCTTGATATGATAAGTGATGATTTTTAACATGTCAATAAGTTAGGTGATCTCTGATCTCTTTCCAGTCAAATTAGTCCATTTTGGTGGACTCAATTCTTTGTTTTGATTAGTAAAGCAAAGCTTTTCAGTGTGCTTTTAACTTTAAGCTAACTTTTAAAGCATAAAATCCACTCAAAAGGTTGCTACTTGAAAGCTCCAGTGCACAGAAGTGATTTGTTTTTAAAAAACTGGAGTACAAAGTACAGAAGACAATTGGGTAAAGGGAAGCTAGTCAAAGCTGAATAAGAGAACTCTAGAAATACAAGAGTAAAGTGAAATTTGTAATGCTTTGATAATCTCTCGGGATGAAATAAGAGAAATTCACTCGTATTTGAGGATTTTCTTCGGCACAAATTTCACAAAAGAGAAGAGAAGAGGACCTTCATTTATCCCTGCTCTAATCTGGTGAAGCTGAGAGTGAGGAAAGTGAGAATATTAGACGATTTGACGGGGGTTTGTAGTCACAAAACACGACAACTTTCTTTTTTTTCACGCTTTTGTCGATACTTTTATGTATTACTTTGCAATTTTGAGGCAAACTTTGAGTAAAAAACGAATAGATAAAGAGATAAAGAGTCAAATAAAGGGAAAATGTGAATGAAGTGCAATTCTGTGAAATTTGTAATTGGAAATTGGGTTTTACGAATCGAAGTTGTGAACGAACATCAATAATCATCATTCAAATTGTAATTAAAGGCTCAAAATCACCCAGTTGACGTTAAAATGGATTTCTCTACCTCTACCAAGTGGTCCAGTCGATAAGATGCTTCCACTGGTTCCTTTCGCGTTGGGTTCGCGTTCTGTGACTACCAACTTGTCTGGATATTTTGTTTTTGGTCATTTATTCTCTCTATTAATACTATAATCCCCAGTACACCAGGATTGAAAGGGATTGAAAAGGGCATCCTTTAAATGGCAGATAAAAGTCAAAAATTAAACTAAAACCGGGGTTTTTTTGCTCTCAATTTAGTCTTTTCCCAGTTTTTTCTTAGGCTAACTTAAAACTGAAATCAAAATGAAACACCGGGAAAGCGCTAGTTTCGTTTCATAGTGCTAGCGCTCACTAGCGCTTTCCCGCTTCACTAGCGCTTTCCCGCTTCACTAGCGCTTTCCGCTTGCTTCACTAGCGCTTTCCCGCTTCACTAGCGCTTTCCCGCTTCACTAGCGCTTTCCCGCTTCATTAGCGCTTTCCCGCTTCACTAGCGCTTTCCCGCTTCACTAGCGCTTTCCCGGTGTTTCATTTTGATTTCAGTTTTAAGTCCAAAGTTGGGCTCAACTTTTCTCGGATTAAGATTTTAAAATAGACGGGTTTTTTTGGTATAAATGTAATTCATTTTAACATGTATTCACATCAGAAAGGCGATGGGGGGAAAGAAATATTATAGGAATTGAATTCCATCAAAGCATTCGCTGAATTCCCAGAGGTAACTCGAAGGTTATTAAATATAAATCAATAAATTATTGTTTTCTTTGGATGAATGATAAACTTAATTACTTGAAATTTAGGTTTCAATTTGTTTTTTGATAAGTTACAACAAAAATTCTAATTACTGCACAAATCAAAACAGAAATTCGTACTCGAAAGTTAGTAAAGAAATGCAAAATTCGAGATACTGATCGAAAAAAAAAAGAAAGAACAAGGTAATGATTGACATTTTTGAAAGGCCAAAACACAAAAGGAGTTTGGTTTTTAAAA